CATCAACATTATTAATTCCACATTTTTTTATTATGCAGAATGAAAATCAGAATAGACTCATCCAACCGATGAACTTTTTGTCGCATCGTAATGAACTGAATGACCCTTTTACTATGTCGCGATAAGGATATCGCTTGTATAAATGGATATTTATATATGTATGCATGTGCTGCCTTGAGTTTGAAAATTTACGATGTATACTTGTTCCCCCCCCCTCCCCACCGTCGATTCCCCATATGAGCAACGGGTGTAAAAAAAAAATAATTACGTCAAAAAGTCCTGATCGGGCTTTACCTATATCACTGGGAGGAACCGATTTCCCTTTTGTAAAAATTTTAATTTGTATCACTTATTATTATCCCTATTGCATGTCAGTTTATCGTTCTCTTCACCAGCCCCCCCCCCCCCTCCTCTCTCCTCCCGCGCCTTTTATTAAACCAATGGGGTCTCTTTGTCGACCCTGCGGTGGTGTTGCATCGCACGCCAGCGGCGGTAATTCGGGTAGTTCTCGAAACTCTTCTCGCCGAACGCGTTCGTGTGCAGATTCCGGCTTCGCGAATACAACGAAGGGCGAATCGGGAGGATGGAATGCCTGGGCGCGAGGGAAATCGTCGAGGCCGCGTGGGGTGGCTTCCGCGCCTTTCCCTGTCGTTTCCCGCGCGGGGCGTCGTCCTCGCCGCAGACCCGCATAAACACGTGCTCGAGGGAGACGTGTGAGATGCTGAAACTGCTAATCCGGAGCACGGATTGATACTTCTGGAGCATCTCGAACAAATCGGAAAGCAACGTGACGTGGCGGAGGGAGAAACTTCTGGGGAGGTGTGCTTGAGATTCGCCTTCAACCGCGCGAGCTCGTCGGCGGCGCCCGGGTTGGAGGGGATGGAATAGGTAAACTGCCGATCCCCGACATTCTCCATCAGCAGCGCGCAGGGGAAGAATTTTTCCATAAACTCCCGAATCGGGTTGGTCGGATCCAGGTAGATCATTTTGTTATCGGTGATGGAGGACTGCCGACGGAGATCTTTGAGGCTGGGGGCGAGGTTGGTGCTGTTGCTGTCGGTCGCCGCGCGGCCGGGATCCGTCCGCGGATTCGACGTCGCGCGGGGCAGGAGGATCGGATTCGACACCGCCACCTCCGCCGGGTTCGCGTCGTCGACTCGGATCGCGAGTTCGTAGATGTTTTGGGCGTATTTTCGCTTCAAATAGGGTAAATCCTCGATGCATCGGAGGCTGCCGTCGACCAGGATCGCGACGCACTCCCCGAGCGCCTCGACCTCCGCTAAGTGCTGCGTCGTGAGGATGATCGAGCACGGCGTGGAAACGCACTTCAACGCCTGCCAAATCGAGCACCGCGCGATGGGGTCGACGCCCGCGGAGGGCTCATCCCACAACACCCCCACGCGGTTTTTTCCCACAAAGGCGATCGCAACGCAGAGTGTGCGTTTTTGCCCGCCCGAGAGCCTCGACGCGAGGAAGTCGATCTTGTCGGCCAGGTCGACCGCGCAGAGCACATCCCAAATCGCGTTCTCCAGCTCCGCCCCTTTTAGGCCTTTGATCTTCGCGAAAAGCTCGAGATGCTCGCGGCAGGTGAGGTCCGCCCAGAGGGTGTTGTGCTGCGGGCAGAGCCCGATGTTCGCGCGCACCGCGGCGAGCTCCGTTACGACGGAGTGGCCATCCACGATGCAATCCCCTTCATCAGGCTCCGTCATGCCGGTGATGATGCCGACGGTGGTGGACTTCCCCGAGTTGTTCGGCCCCAGGAGCACGGTAACCTCCCCGGGATAGAGCTCCCAGGAAAGCGAATCGACCGCCACCGTGCGGTGTTTGCCATGGGAGAAGGATTTGCGCACGTTTTTCAGCTGAACGGTTGCCTTTTTCGGCTTCCCCGTCGCCGCGTCGATGCCGACGCTGGGATCGAGCAAAACCCGATGCCGCGGGGCGTCGCCGCTGCCGTCATCGCGCGCTGCCTTTTGCGTTTTCCGCCGACGGAAACACCTCTTGAGTGCCCTAAAGATAGGGAGGAGGAAGAGCAAAGGGTGCTTCGGAGCACTTCCCCCGCTCGGGAGCACAAGATCCACGTAGAGCATGAGCAGCAGATAAATGGGGAAATCCGCGGCTAGGATTATCATCACCTTGTACGGCTCCGCGTCAAAGAATGGGTTCGTAAAATCCTTCATCACAAAGCCATGTCCGCTTTCGCGCTTGATGATGGATGTCAACAGGCTCGACACGCCCATCGGCGACAGGAATGAAAGCACCAGTACCCCTGCCTCGTTGATCCCACTTATCAAGAAAATGATCGTATCCAGAATGAACTAAAGCATCGGCGCGAATAAAGCCGCCACACGAGTATTATAAAATAATGTGGAAACCAGCCCTGCAAACGGAATCAACGTACATGAATAGATGAACAAAACCAGAAAAACTATTAATGGGTTGATGCGGGTTATAACCTTGAGGCAAAGCACAAAGGTCAGCAAGATACTCAGGAGGAAGTATTCTAGGAACGAGATGATAAAAAAATTGATCCACAACGAGTGCCGCATCATGCCCATGACGAGTATCGTTTCCTGAATCTTCAGTTCCTTATCCAAAACGAGGCGCTTCGTCATCTGTGTAAAAGGGTAGGTAAATGACAAAATGATGACGAAGGCCACCAGGGTTCCTGAAATGTTGACTAGGTAGTACCGTTTGGTTTGCACATCCGGAAACGAGCCCAGGATGGGATACATTGTGGAGGCGGGAAAATCACTTGGAATGAGGCCTCGGGAATACTGTTTGGTTATAAAGTAGTGGTAAAGCAACTTTTGAAGCGCAACATACCCCGAAATCAAGTACATTTCGGAACCCTCCTAGGAAAAGCCACCACTGAAGAGGGGGTTGACAACCGGGGTCAGGGACGGCAATGACTTAGCGCTGAGCTGGATATCGATGTCGAACCCGTCTACCAGATCGTTTATCACAATGAGTGCCCATGTAGAATTCTTGGTATTAGCCTTCCAAAGCTGCTTCTGAGCCTCTGCGACGGTTTCAAAGGTGTCACCATAGATATACTTAAAGATCCCTGACTTTTCCGAGAAGAAATCGATCAGATCCTGCGGCACATTTTTCGAAGCGGCCATGTAAAGATACCCAGAGTTGCATAACGCGTCGATGTGCGTGGAGGAGTCGCTGTTAAACGAGACGGAGAGCTTCGACAGCAGTGAATGTCTTAACGAGTCCATGCAGAACCCGTGCTTCTTGGCTAACCATTGATACGCAATAACAGTATCCAGGGAAGGGGGTGAAACCAAAATGCCCCTTAACTCTTTTATGTAGTAAGCCAACTCGACGATTGGACTACGAACGTAAGTAAAACACACCCCTTTGACCGGGAGCGAGGATTCGTCGCTCTCACAAAACAAATACTCACTTGGGACTTCATTGCAATCGGTAAATGTCTCGATGGTGTAATCCCCTGTGTAATTGCTACACATGAAATAATAGAAATCGGTAGCGTATATCGATTGACTTATAGGTGAGGCCAATGTAGTTGCGAT